AGACAGATGTGCTGTGCAGGAAATGCTGGGTCAGCTGTTTTGTCTCTAGCAAACATAGGTAGTCCCTGAATAGGAACCCAGGCTAGAATTTAAAATGTACCCATCAGGGCTGGACTAATTTCATCTGACTTCAGCTATTTAAAAATTACCTGCCTGGGTTTACCCTCTACTGAAGGAAATCAGTAGACACCTCCAGAAGACAATTCAACCCAACCTACAGCATTGCTATTTACTCCACTGACTACAGAGAATGCCTACATGTTTAGTTTACTGAATTCAGGTGAAATAACTCTCAAGTGTGAAGTATGCCTCCAATCTCTTTCAAGGCACCTAAGATCCTGTTTGGATAAAGCTATCGCTTTATAACAACACAGAATGGCACTTATTTGATAATAGCGCTCTCCCAAGATGTGAAAGATCGAGGCAGAGGAGGAATTTTAACCTGCCTCTCCCAAACTCTGGCAGAATGATTACCGCCACTACACTATAAACAATTCTTACCATCATTTGCCAAACATAAGTTAGCGGGGTCAGGTACCTGCCAAAAAAGTCCTGCAAGTAAACCATGCAGATGAACAACATGTGAATCTGGCTAGGGTGGCCATACAATCCTCAAGACTGCATTTTTCTTTGCTCAGCAGCAAAAATACAGGTTCCTTGAGGGACTTAACTGGATTGAGAAAGGTAGAGATCCTAAAGAAACGTCTGGGTTCAAGCTGAGAAGCCTTTACTGTGTATCTCAATTTTGGATTTAAACACTTCAACACACCAACTACATGTATAAAATCTTTTGTAGACCCAGCCTTCAGCACACAGTAGAATCAATGACATGTACATGTTTTGTGTATATCATAATGGATTATTATTCTACTGTTATGGTGTACAAACAGGTGGAAATTAAGCTTTAAAACTACATTAATCATGCAAATAATTCCTATAAATAAAAATTATTGGCACTCCACATACAACACATTAAGTCCTTTTTATATCTAGTTATCAGTTCTGATACATACCCTGCATATATTCAAAGTCTGTAATCAATCTTACTGTTCACAGTTGATTTACTAATCAGCAGCTTTTAATTTCAATGAAGTGTAATTTACAAACATAGTCAGACTAAAAGAATTCTGAATCAGATCAGATGCAGTTGTTCTACATGAGCATCACAATAAATTTACCTGCATACTTGTACTTGATCGTGGCTATGTTGCTCTCCAGAACAAGCTAATTAACAAGAATGATAAAATCTAATTAACAACATTGACCCACACAATCCTTGTTTGTTTTGAACATACATAGAGAAAACTAGCAGCACCACACAGAGAACACTTATCTTGTAAACAACAACAAAGAATACGTTCTAAAAAAAGGGACTCATTACTAGTCATGTCTAGGCTTTGTATAGATAGCAGTCTTGAATAGCTAGAATAAGGAAAGACAGGAATACAGTTTGTATCAGTCAAGACACAGATGAGAATTAAAATAATCCAAAGCATGAAAATTTCAGTGTAAAACACCACAGCTGTACTTGCATGAAGAAAATGAATGCAAGATTTGAAACTGCTATGAGTTTGTCAAAAGAGAAGAAAGCCACAAGCCACTTGGGCTTTTCTAAACCTGTCCACTAATGAAACCCTCATTAGGCAGTGCAAAGCTTGCAACATTGCTTGCTTCACTTCAGGGTGTATCACTTGCACATCCTCAAAACTCATAAAACAAATGCACGGTATCCATAATGCTAAAGTAAGAGAATGTAAATAGTTGGTGATCTATTTTCTGGCAGTACAGCAGCAGCTTGAAAGGAAATGCACTGCTGAAGGGCCCTAACTTGACCACCAGAACAAAAGCCAGGTTGTTCTCAGACCCTGCATTCTCTCAGGTTGTGTTCCACTTAACAGATGTTCTATGCAGATTATTCTTCCAGCCAGATTTTCCAGGGAGAGAGAAAAAAGCATTTTCAGGTTGACAGTCAGTTGAGCGTACTATTTCCTTTTATAATACCCCTGTTCAGGAGCCGTATGTACATACAAAATGAAGGATTAAGCACCAGGTTATCTGCTCAGTTCTGTGACATGCTTCCTAGGGAAGTTGTCAGACTCTACAACTACAAAGAACTATCCTCCACTGTTGCTAAGAGCTCTGTTAGCATAGCATTTCTACTCTGGCTAGAAATGCTCTAGAAGATACTTAACATAACCTTTTGAATAAGCCACTAATATCCAAGGCATCAGCCAACTTTTTTAAGTCAGAGGCCAACAACAGATAGCATCAGTAATTGCCTACTAGTTGTTACATTAAAATACTGATGATCATGGTATATTGTCTTCTGCAGAGCTTGTGGTGGTAGATCAACACCTTTGAAAGTAAGCTCTTACAGATACAATGGCCACCTTCTGTATACACTAAACATATATATTTAAAGTTCCCTTTGCTTTCTACACTCGTTTCCACAAAGCACTTCAATCATGTATCTACCACCTTAAGATTGTTCCCCACACACCGGAAATTCTAGTTGTAACACAAGCTTAGCAAAACAACACTCAAAGATGTGTTTATTAGGTCTACCTTTCTTGGTATGTATCTGACATAACTTGTTTTAAGTTTTGGCACTTTCAATTTACCTTCATACTGTGTGATTAGCCCTGCCACTGAAATATTAAAGCTCACATGTATACTTAGCAGATCACCTTTGTTATACAAAGATCTGTAATCTTATGGACTCTTTTATATCATTTCTTTCTTTTCTCAAACTTTTCTTCAGTTTCACAGCAAGTAATGATCTTTTTCAGGGTTCTTCTGATCTGAGAGCTCTCCAGTAACTTTAGAAGAGGATTTTCATAACGCCTCTCAAGATGGATGCAGCAGTATCAGATCACTGTGCTAAAGCTCTTCTAAGTATCTCCGCAAACACTGCAAAGGAACTGTACAAATGGGACCCTGAGGAGATGGTTCCTGCTGTTGGTTTCCTATACACTGTCTCTTCAGTAAACTGGCCCTGTTTGCAGCTGCTGGTCATAAATTTCACTACACAGCTTATTTAGCAGAGGAGAAACAAGCATCTGCAAGGAAGTATAATGACTGTACTAAGCACATTCCTATCCAACAAGTGATGGCTAGGCAACAAATTGGGGCTTTGTTTACAGATTGCCTGCCCAGTATGTGGCCCATGTCCCCAGTTTCTCTGCACCCCACCAGGGGTCACTAATACCACATTACAGACATTCCTCAGCAGGATAGGTGACTTTATTCTTCTATCATAATAATTTAAAGTATTTACACACTGCACAGCCACTCTTTTACACAAACATAGACTTACTGGGATATTCATGAACCACATGTAAAAGGTTTTGCAAAGACTGACACATTGTGGAGTTCCCAAGCATGAAAAAAAAAGATATCTGTAGTTATCTAAAAGACAGCTATTTGGAGGACCTGTGAAAAAAGTGTTCCCTCTAAGTTCTCCCCAGAGACCACTCACTAGCTTCAAAACATCCACATTTGGCATTAACTAAAGCTCTCTAGTGATGGCAGACTTCAAGAATGAACATGTGCAAATAACATTTTCTCAAGAAATCCCACAGCAGGAACAAGAAAATGGAAAACTCTTTAGGGGAATTACTACATTTCTGAAATATTATTTATGTGAGGGGCTCACAACTCAATGCTAGTATACATATATATAGCATACATATGTATATACAGACAGGATCCAGGGACAGAGGGAATTATCTAGCATATGGTGCCTGCCCAGTAAGTATGTGCACCACTGCAAGCAACACTAGGTTCATCCATCAGCTTTCAGACACAGGAACTTTAAATTCAGAGCACTGATGAGGAAGTTCAGCCACACAAAATAGGGAGAAGCCTGTCACCATCAGGTGAAACTGCAGAAGCCACATTATCAGACATAATAAATCCACAAGTCCAACTCATCTGAAACAGCACTGTCAGACAGCACAGACAGAACAAGCTGCCAATAGTCTAATCTAAAATAAATTTTTACCTTCAGCCTTAACTCCGTTCTCACTACTTTAATTTCAAGTATTCACAGAATAACACCTGTATGCAGTTACCCAGCCATACAGGGAATTACTTAGTTTCCTTGAGAAGACTACTCCTGTCCTTACCAGTCAGCAGTCCCTAACGTAGCCAGAAGTCTTCACAAAAACTAGAAGCTTTCATTCCATGAATAAACTCCACCTCCCTCCACCAAGGCAAACACTAGCTCAAGTTTGCTTGACACAGGCAAGTGCTCTTTGAGTCTTTCTCACATAGCACTTCTGACATATCAGTCCAGCCTCAGATGAACAGTTTTAAGAGTGAAATAAGCCCATCTTGGAGTTGGGTTTATTGTAGCACGTATTAAAAGCTTCCACTTCTTGCAGCAGGTTAAGGCACTAAGTAAAACCAACCTTTAGGCCATGAAATCATTCTTCCAGCTCCTCAGTAAAAGTAGTCAGAGCCAGCAGCCTCATTCCCCTCCTTCTTCTGAATGTATAGACAGAATTAGCACCTAAGCAAGGGACAGAATTCAGGCTTGTGATTTCTCCAGTCCATCTTGGCGAATGACTTAACCCTCCAGGTTAGAGGCAGCTACAATAGTTACGTTACAGGCTTACACAACTAGCCCATTGATCTCTTTTAAAATTATCTTCCCACTGGTTCTATAAAGCTACGTCTCACACTCCAGTGCATCCCCTTTTATTCTTTTGAAACTCATGCCATGAAACTAGGAAATGGCAGAATTACAAAGAAGGTTCTGTAACTCATGTTATCCAAGATGGTCATCTGAGCTAATGGGAAGAACTTCACTCTCTCCCTCCAAAGAAGCAATGGCCATTTGTTTGAGGGACAGAATAAAATTCCACTCTTAATGATTTTAACTAGTGAATCCAGCAATCACAGGACAAGAGACATGCTGCCTCTAGAGTAAGAGAAATTATAGAAAACCCCCACAAATTAATCCAGTTTAAAAAAATTGTTAAGCAGTAGTTGGAGGAAGAACTGAGTATTATATGCACGTGTTCATATGTATAATACATAGTTACTCGGATACACACATAAATATTTAATATATAAAAATAAAGTGCTTTCTATCAGGTCTCAATGCAGGGACATTATAAAACATTTTACCAACTGCAAAACAAATAGATACAAAGAATACTATATCAAACATACATGAAAACAGTTAACACAGTATGTACAATCTGGTGGGTGTCCCAAGACAAAACATCCCTTCATATACATGGTATATACATACATACTCATCTTTACTTAATATATTATGACAATATTTATTTCAAAACTTTGTTATAGACAAAAAACCCTACAAAACCACAACAACGATCAAACACACAAATCCAAGACCAACAAAGAATTTGCTACCCTTGCCCACACCACCACCTCCAGTGCTGGGAAAGATATGCCAGTGCTCTTTTCTGGGGTGCAGTGCTTCCACATCCTGCAAGGCACTGTGAGCAGCAGCCGTGAAGTTAGCATCACCAGTGGTGAGTAGGTCAAATACACATGAGTAAAAATAGATGTCTTTCACCAGCATCTTCTCATGGCATTTGGTGGTGGCAGTTTCCAGTGTGTACACTGACCAGGGATGAGCAGCACCACCCTGAGGGAGTAACTGCCCCATCGCAGGCAAAGCTAATTGGCCACTGTCATCAATACGTTCACTTGAAGGGCAACCGTTCACACACAGCTGCAGATCCTGGCTCTCCTCGTAGGCCATGACCAACTCTTGAGGCATGCGAATGGCCAATGTTAAGTAGTGCCCAAGCTGGCGTAAATACACCGTGGTCCCAATGTACTTGGCATGCATTTCGACATATTTGCCACTGACTTTCTCCACAATTTGCAAGCTCTTGGTGTTCCCATCACCTCCACTTGTTGTACCATCAACAAAAGCTGCCGGCAAGTCATCAGTCACTGCTTGATACACTTTCTGATCTGTACAGTCTTGGTATGATTTAAAGATAATAGTTATCTGGGGGGGGTATGGGGAGGAAAAAAAAAAAAGCAAAGTTAGTGAAAAAAACCCATCATTTCAATCCCTTTTCCATTTTGCAGCTGAACACCTCTGGGACTGCCCACTAGCTCAGAGCTTGATAGTTGTCCCAAACTCACGCCTAAAGGAAAACAGTCTGTACCCCCATGCTTAAAGCAATATTTTACCACATGGCAATGGTTAAATTTGTTCTTAGGTTGGCCTGGAATCAAGACTATTAGCATGTGGCAACAGCCACAAGGTCAGGAAAGGAAAAGGCTTTATATTTAATTAAGCATCACAAGTCCCTCCTGCCTGATGGTTTCTTAACACTTTGGAATGTATCCTGCAGTCACAGAGAAGTGCCAAGTAATTCCCACAATGCTAGCCACTATGGCAAAACCAGAATGCGACTGCGCAAAATCACAGAACAGTACAAGAGAACTCAGCTTCCCTAACTCACAGTATTTCATCGCTCCTTTTACAGTGACTGTATGACCCTTGTTGGGGTACTGTGCACTTGTTGGATGTGTTGCCAGGATTAGCTGTGTGAGACTACTTTAAAAAGCACTTACGTCTTTAGTGCTTTATCAGCCATCAACACAACAGGCAATGAGATGAGAGGTGCATGACCAGGAAGAACAAATAGTCAAATAACTGCTTAGGGCTCCTGGATCCATTAGTCCTAGGAACTGGGAGATTTGACACTACCAGTCCACTGTTGCTAGAAAATATGCCCACGAAGAAACAAAGCAAGACTGAAAGATACTCAGACATGCTTTTGAAGAGTGACTTCCAACAGAGAAACCAGGAGCATAAAGCAATTACTCATTGTTTTACAATTAAGACTGGCCTTTTAAACCTTTACACTTATTTGAATAAGCCACAACAGAAAGAGTAGGCCCTCCAGTCTTACTTGAAGGGAATAATTAGGCTACTTGGCAGACCAAGTTTGGAGTGTCTAGTGGCTTTTCCTAAAATAAAAGTATAATGAGGAATCACATACAAATATTAGAAACAGATATGCTACTTCCTTTTCAGTTTCAGAGTGGAGTGACTTCTTCACAAGTTCAAAGGGAATTTTGCACCAGGAATAGGTATTTTATTCATTATTTTCATCACTGACTGATTACATCAAAATTACTTAGACTATGATTTAAGCAGTCTGCTACAAGATTCAGAGTACTCCAAAACATATTAAAGGCATTTTCAATCTTATGTTATACTTCTTCCTTAAAATCTACTCTATAGCAACTCCACATTTTAATTTCAGTTAACCAGCACACTTCTGCACAACAGCTTTTGTTTCCTGGCCCTCTGCTTTGAAGTAAGAGCTAGAGATTAAATAAACAGCTGATTATAGATAACCCAAATAAAACCTCTACCCTCACTAGCCTCACCTCTCCATACCAGTTGTATAAGTCTTCCCTTCTCTCTCCTCCCACTGCAACAACTCCTCCTTTGGAGTATGCAGACACCCTAAACAGTATTACATTAGTTTTCAATGTTTGGTTTGTCCCAGTTGGTTGACACTCCATCAGTCTTTGTGTCTCACACACACAGACAACACTTGCTATTTTGATTTCATATGTTCCCACTGGTGCTGTCTGACTAGAATTTTTCAATGGTTTTTCTTTGCATTAATCAGTTATACAGCTAGCTTGAGACCATTTGTGGTCAAGCAGTTTGGTAAACTGATGTCTGTGGGCTACAGCTAAGCTTGAATGACTATGCCCAAAATCCAGAAAATGCCTAAGTGCCCTTGTTGCTGTAAAGGCCACTCTATGCGTAGTGAAGTAAGCTCAGCAACCCAGAGAAGAGAAATCTGAGATCTGTCATGTGATTAGTATGTCTGCATATAATCCAGAACCTCATGCAGTAAATTAGGTCTTATATTTTATGTAACACAGTTTTGATGAAACAGAGTTCTATCTCAGCCTGCTCAGACAAAGAAGCATTCCTACTTCCTTGAACACATTTGCATTGCTCTGCAAGGAAATAATTACTCACATTTCAACAGAAGTAAAGCTCTAAGTCTCCTCAGCACCTGAACAAGTCTGGAGTCAGAAAGAGTTAATGGTTTTAATGAGACACAGAACTGGCTACTTGATAAAACAGTTAAGCAAGGCAGCTGGCACAATTTATCAGGAAGCAGCCACCAAACTATTCTCTCCAAAGCTCTGTCCTCTGCAAGAATGAAATGCACACGATTTCAGAGACATAGAGGGAGAACAAAAGCCTTCACCCTAAGGCAAGATCAGCAATAAGACTCCATGCTGAGTGAGGGCTGAACAACTATTAAGTGAATGAAGGCCTCCACATACCTTGCAAGGATACTCCAGAGAAGCAATAGAGACCATTAAGACTTTCCAGGGACATACTCATATTTAAACACTGTGGCTCAAGAGATGAGGTTTGGATTTTGTGTTTTCTGTTGTGTGACATCCATCTAATCCATAAGCCAGATCAGTAAAACCAGAGTTCTGTTAAGATCCTTCCCTTATCACCCACTCCTACCTCAATCTCACACCCTGCTACTGAGGGATACTCAAGAGCTTGTTGCAAAGGGAGATGAAGCAAATTTCACTGCCAAGCTTTCTCTGTTTAAGTTCTCAAGGTAACAGAAAGCATTAAATAGTGAAAAAGGTTATTTCAAACAAATTTGACATGTGTTACAGAACATGTTTATGTTTAACGTGTTCTAGAACTCAATCTGGCCACGGTTGTAAGAGATAATAAAAAATGTTTTTACAAATACATGAACAACAAAAAGAGAGCCAAGGAGAATCTCCATCCTTTGTTAGATGCGGGGGGGGGGAACATTGTCACCGAGGATGAGGAAAAGGCTGAGGTACTTAATGCCTTCTTTGCCTCTGTCTTTAACAGCCAGACCAGTTATCCCCAGGGTTTTCAGTCCCCTGAGCTGGAAGGCAGGGACAGGGAGCAGAATGGAGCCCCCATAGTCCAGGAGGAAGAAGCTAATGACCTGCTACACCACTTGGACACTCATAGGTCTATGGGGCCAGATGGGATGCTCCCGAGAGTACTGATGGAGCTGGCGGAGGAGCTTACCAAGCCACTCTCCATCATCTATCAGCAGTCCTGGTTAACAGGGGAGGTGCCCAATGACTGTAGGTTTGCCAATGTGACACCCATCTACAAGAAGGGCTGGAAAGAGGATCTGCTGCACAGGCCTGTCAGCATGACCTCGGTGTCAGAGAAGATTATGAGGCAGTTCATCTTGAGTGCGCTCAACAGGCAAGTGCAGGTCAACCAGGGGATCAGGTCCAACCAGCATGGGTTCACGAAAGGCAGGTCCTGCTTGACCAACCTGATCTCCTTCTATGACCTGGTGACCCACCTGGTGGATGAGCGAAAGGCTGTGGATGTCATCTACCTGGACTTCAGTAAAGCCTTTGACACAGTCTTCCACAGCATTCTCCTAAGGAAGCTGGCAGCTCATGCCTTGGACAGGCATACTCTTCGCTGGGTAAAAACTGGCTGGGTGGCCGAGCCCAGAGAGTTGTGGTTTATGGAATTAAATTCAGTTGGTGGCTGGTCACAAGTGATGTTCCCCAGGGCTCAGTTTTGGGGCCAGTCTTGTTTAATATCTTTATCAGTGATCTGGATGAAGGGGTTGGAGTGTGCCCTCAGTAAGTTTGCAGATGACACCAAACTGGGTGAAAGTGTCGATCCGCTCAAGGGTAGGATAGCCCTGCAGAGGGATCTGGACAGGCTGGATCGATGGGCCAAGGCCCATTGTGTGGGGGTCAACAAGGCCAAGTGCCGGGTCCTGCACTTTGGTCACAACAACCCCATGCAACGCTACAGGCTTGGGGAGGAGTGGCTGGAAAGTGGCTCATCAGAAAAGGACCTGGGGGTGTTGGTCGACAGTCAGCTGAACATGAGCCAGCAGTGTGCCCAGGTGGCCAAGAAGGGCAACAGCATCCTGGCTTGTATCAGAAACAGTGCGGCCAGCAGGAGCAGGGAAGTGATTGTCCCCCTGTACTCAGCACTGGTGAGGCCGCACCTCAAATACTGTGTCCAGTTTTGGGACCCTCACCACAAGAAGGACACTGAGGTAGTGGAGCATGTCCAAAGAAGGGCAACAAAGCTGGTGAAGGGTCTAGAGCACAAGTCTTATGAGGAGGGTCTTCTACACCTACTACAGGCAAAATTCCTGAGGAAAGAGTTCCATCAAAACCTGCCTAAGAATTAGACTTCATCTAGATGTTAAACAACACAGATATGAGGTACCACATGCAAGAAGGTGACACTACTTACTGAACTGGCAGTAACTCTGGAAAAATCTGAAGGTTGTTGGTTGTTCTTTTGCTGGGTTTGGGGTTTTCTGGGGTTTGGTTTTTGGTTTTGGTTTTTTTTTTTTTTTTGAAACGGAACAGGACAGAAGGTTCCTGTCCTTCTGTGGACAGATTTTGATCTTGCCTGGTTTTACTCATAATTTTACTGTAATAGCCACCAAGTCCATTTTACTTATCATAAAATCATAGAATGGTTTGGGTTGGAAGGGACCTGTAGAGATCATCTAGCCCAATCCCCCTACAGTAAGCACCGACATCTTTAACTAGATCAGGTTGCTCAGAGCCCCATCCAACCTGACCGTGAATGTTTCTGGGGATGGGGCCTCCACTACCTCTCTAGGCAACCTGTTCCAGTGCTTCACTACCCTCATTGTAAAAAATTGCTTCCTTATATCCAATCTAAATCTACCCTCCTTTAGTTTAAAACCAGTACTCCTTGGCCTGTCACAACAGGCCTTGCTAAAAAGATCGTCCCCATCTTTCCTATAGGCCCCCTTTAAGTACTGAAAGGCCACAATAAGGTCTCCCCGCAGCCTTCTCCTCTCCAGGCTAATCAACCCCAACTCTCTCAGCTGTCCTCGTAAGAGAGGTGCTCCAGCCCTCAGATCATTTTTGTGGCCCTCCTCTGGACCCGCTCCAACAGGTCCATGTCCTTGTGCTGAGGGCTCCAGAGCTGGA